ACTTCAGAAGCAACACTTTAGAGCTTGTTATTCTCTTATAATCAATGCAATTAGATAACATATCACCCATCTTCCCCTTTTCATTAAATCAAATGGTGGTCCTTAAAGAAGCAGAACCTTTACAGTGGAGGGCTCTTGTCAAAGGGAGCAGCTGGTTGCTTTTACATGACCCAGGACTTTAATGTGGCTGACAAGCAGAGTGAGGCTACAGTGTAAGCAGTTTTAGCTGGATATAAGCAAGTATCCACTTACTGTTGGTTGCATAACATATGGCGGATGAGGCATCCATGAAGTACTCTGGACCTGCATATCAAATACTTTTAATTAGCACAGAAAAGTTTAAAATAGAACTAAAAGATTTACTTGAAAACATTCTTTCTATTACAACTACAGAGCTATTTTTGGCAAAAGACTTAAGTCATACAACACAATGCAAAATTAATTTATGCTTCATAAAGTTATTGATAAAGCAAAAAGTGTTCAAATTTCATTTCATAATGTTTTCTACCAAAGTCAGAAGTCTGAGCGACTGCACCACTTCTATGATCCACACCATTTTATTGCATAAAGCAGTCTGCAATATTCCATGTTGTCCTGTTTTTCCATTTGTATTGTCTGCTTTCATCCATTGATACAATCATGAATGTGTCATCCAACCAACAGTGCAGGAGACATAAAATGTTCAAAATTTATTTTCAAAAGTATCAGTATGAACTTTCAAAGGTATAATATTTTCAGAGATCCCTGAATGATTTATTTCATTTTCAGTAAAAACTGCAGAACTAATTCAGTTTTTAAAGCTTATTCTAATTGGAAGCTTCCATGGCAAAGCTGGCTTAAGATGTCTCTGCCCCCCAGGATCAGCTCTTACCTTGGGCATCATGGGGTCCATTCTCACCAGAACTCTATATGCCTCACCAAAGTCTTTTGTCTTTCTGCCTCATGACTGACATGTAAGAGACTCCACGGATATACCAATTTTACTAACAATTAAACGCATTACAGAGTGCTTGCACAGTTGTGGTGGCAGCTCTGAGCCATAACTCCTCCTGTGCTAAGTGTGAATGGCCCCCACGCTATCATAACCCAGACTCAGCCCCAAGGACTATGTATCCTAGCTTCCTTTTGCATCATCCTGAGCACCACCATGCACAGCAAGTGCACAAAAACTGTAGCTGTGCTACAGCCATCAGTGGGCACCTCACTAGCTATCCCCAAGCTCAAGAGATGGGCATGTGGCCTCTCAGACCGAGCATGGACAGGGATGACTAGGAGTAAGCTACAAGGTCCCGATTCTCCAGATGCCCTGTGATTTCGCTCATGAAGCAAGTGGTGAGAATTAATTGTATAATTGTGTGCTTCCACACTCGTTGAAGTTTATCAAAGTAGATTTTTTTGTTGAAAAGCAAGTTCAATGAAACATCTTTAGAACCAAATCGAGCACACACACATGCAAACACACCTCTACTACAAAATTTTCTGTGGTAAATCCCCGCTAATTCAAATACATTACAGCTGCTACAGCTTGCTGCTGTTCATTGCTCTCACTCTTGCACCCTTGCAGTTTCTTCTCTGTACCAAGGCAAATGCCTTTGGGCTTACACTGCAAACTATCTACAGAGAATGATATGAGTTAAAAAAAAAATTAATGGTTTTGGTGCAAATGCACCAAACCATGAACCGATACAAGTCAGGATGGGAAAAGTGAGCAACTGTGAACTGTAGAGCAGTGTGGTGAATAACTGGCTGGGTGGCCCGAATTCAGTGGCTTAAATAAGAGGGAAGAGGTGTTACTCTTAAGCCAGCTTTGCTACTGAGAAAAGTGCATGTGAGCTGCACTCGTTTGTCTCTGGCACTGACACTTCTTTGGTGATGCCACTTAACGAACTTACTGAATTTATCTCATCAAAACAACTTTTGTTTGGCAAGTGTTACACAGCCATCTAAAATTAACTAACACAGAAGTCAAAGAAAATGACAAGAAGATCAAGTTTAAAACACAGGAAGTGTAAGCACAACCTTGCAAAATTACCTGTAGGCAGTATCATACCACCTCAAAAAACCCAACACCAACAAACCAACCCTAACATTACACACTACCCACCATGCAGCTTTGCAAACTTGGGCAGCTTATCTCAGGTAGGACTCAGGATTGGAAGAGCACAGAAGTAAATGCAATGGGAAAATGTACAGCCAATGACCAGCTTCAGAGCGAAGTGCTATGTTCCCAGAGAACAGCTAACAATAAAACTATGCAAGCTGGTTTTGACTTCCATCTCAGAAGGCCAGAGCATGGCAATAATTTCCCAGTGGAGATATGGGAAGGATATGCTGAAAAGAGAAATTATGAACAACAAAACGTGTGGGAGACTAAAGAAGGATATGAGGACAGTTATCCTCAAGTAACTCGCTTTGTCAGGGATTTTTGGACAAAGATGAGTGCTTTTAAAGGATGCTGTGGCTGAAGCAAACATAGCTGAGGTCAAAAGGTCAAAATACGATGGAGTCAACATAAATTATTAACAAATGCATTTAAAAAAAATCCTTTTTACTAATGAAGGGGAGCCAAATGACAACACATTTCACTAAGAATGATAAGCTTCTGCTGTTGTCAACTGCAAAAGAAGCAAAATGCTGTCTACTTGAGAAGCTGATTGAAATAAAAAATTAAGGTGGTATTCACTGCTAGTGTAAAGAATGCAGAAAACACTTAAACCCCTAAGCCAAATGATACCTGAATACTACTAGAAAGCCTTTTGTTTAAAGTATGACTCAAGAGCGCAAGCACTCACACAATTTTCTGTGGTATACACTCTGCCTTCATCCACATCCAAAACATAATTAACTGGGAAACATAGTAGACAAGCGCAAATCTGACGTACCTGATATGTAGAGACAGGGGAAGCAGCAATGAATGGCGTGATTGATGTCTGTGGAATCATGCGGTTTGTTGGAATACTGTATGGTGAGGAATAAAATCTGCAAACAAAGAACAAAAGCAAGATTTTTTGAACCTTTCGACTGCTAGGCTCTGACTAATTCACTGCCTTCCAGGCAAAGACAGAAAGAGTCTACACAGGTAATTATGTTCGTCTATTTCCAAAACCACAATAAAGAAGATGTGATGGCTTCACTGAACAGATCTTGAAAATCGAAAGGAGGAGGAATATTTACACAAAGCATATTTTTTTCACTTCAACTAGCACAAATATAGAACTTTACGATACAAGAAGTAATTATCTGAAATGCAAAGACAGCTGATTTTCCAGAGTGCTAGCTAGTGAATGGAAATTTCTTACAATATCAAAGACAATATTACTGATTTCATTTTTACATGCAGTGCTGTTTTCTTTTCAGATCTTGATGCTTCAGTGCTGAGAATAACACATTCCATATACATGCTTGAATTATTTTATTAAGGGATGGCTACAAAAACTCTGGCTGAAATTTTCATATTCATCTAGGCAGAGAGCAAAAAACCCACCTTCTGGTGAAATATATCAGGAATTATGAGCCTAAATGCCCCTGGCAGCACTGAAAATTTCAGATATAGTTGGCTTTATTTCCACTTGCATGCTATGAACAAAAGTTGCACTATCTTTGGTTGATAGTAATAAATGTTAAATTCCTTCGACTCTCCTGTGGGTTAATGACTATTGATAAAATTATCACTTGGAAAAAATATTGCTACTTGTGGATTGTGGAAGTACTTAATATGTGTGTGCTCATAAAGATTTTTGCATTTACCCTTTTTCTAGTTTTAACTGCAAGTCACAAAAATAAAATCGCTTAAAAAAAATAATGTTTGTGGTCTTACAGATGTCAAAATGCTGATATTTTGGACTCCGAGAGAAACACTCCTGTGCAGCGTTCTCTTGTCCAATTTAAACCCCATACAAATCCTTCTCACATAGTGTGCACCTATCTTACGAGTAACAGAAGATTTTGCAGATATGCTCTCTCTGTAACAGTGAGGTGGATTACACTCCCTGTCTTTTAACGTTGGGGTTTTTTTCTCCCCACACTGAGGCAATCAACAGTAGCTTTCCATGAGAGCCACGCAACAAAAAAAATCATTACTGGTGTTTAAACAAGTGCTCCATTTCCTGATCGCCCTGGCATCCCGGATTTAGTACTAATCAGTCTAGTTCAGACTGGATGCATTCATTCTGCATGCAGGCTCAAACAACCACCGACTTCATCCAACCAATAGCCTCAGAAAAACAGGCTGCCGTCTTTGAAGGTTGGGCGGAAACATTCGAAGTTAGGAGGGGAGAGGGAGACAGAGAAGCAATCATTTGTTCTCTCTATTCCAAAAAGATTTTAAAATGCCAAAAGCAGCAGGTGGCGTCTGAGTGATTTTTTGTTTAATAGAAATACATTGCTATTTTAGGAACATTTATCTGCCCTTACAATGCTCACACAGAGACTATTTTAAAACGATGCCTTTGCCCAATTTTATATATATCCTATTATGAGAACTTAGAGGTATTTGTATCCTACTGCTTGGATCAAACATTAAGTTCACACAACATTGTGTGAGAAAGGATTTTTATATCATTAACCGGGTTCATCTATGGCATTAGCATGATGCACATGTTATCTAAGCCCTGTTACAGGGGTCTTCTCCCAGATCAAGGTTAACCAGAAATCACTTTGGCTATACTGTTGCTACATGAATGAACTAAGAAATGCTGCAGGTGGCAAATGAAAACAGTCAATGGCAGACTGACACAATAGTCTATGGGTAAAATATATAACGTATAGAAATACATATAAACATCTTAAACTGAAGGACAGTATAAATACAAAACTCTTTTGGGAAAACAACACATTTTTGTTCATTCTGTTCTCATTCCATCCATCAGCCTGGCACTGATGCTGTGCTCATACTCATGCTGTGTACGAACTGCTTGGACAAAGACAAGTGCAGGAGAGAAACAACTTTCCATTTGGAAGTAGTGCTGACTCTCTGGAATGAACTCTCCAATAAATCCCAGCAAATACTACCAGATATACAGAAAACGTGTGCTAAGCCAAGAACTTGACAGACAGCTAACCATTTCAGTTTCAGCTTAGAGATGCAGTTATCTAAATAGTACATAAGCTTGTAGAATATACACTCTGGTAATGTGAAAAATACAGCCCTTCCAACACCCCTGCCAACACCATTTATCTGTTGCAGTTTGGAATGCTCTCAAATAAGCATCAAATAAAACATACTACGAGGACACTCAGCTACGTTGTGAAAATTATGCACCAGAGCATCAAAGAAGAGAAAGAAAGGAAATCTGACACAGCAAATGACAATGTGAGAAAATCCAGTTCATAAATTTCAATTTTAATATTAATAAATCAAGTTTAACAATCTGAGTCACTGTGACAGCCTGTAGGTCAAACATTTTGCAATCAGGAATCCCTTACACCCAAAGACAAAGGCTTGTCTTCCTGCCACAGCATCACTTGTGCCCAAAGGGATCTAAAAAAAGGATGTGGCTATCTCTGCCATGCATGAAGTACAGTGGAATGGTAAGGATAAGGGTGACTTTGCTGGGGACATACTCAAGCAGAGCGCCCCCCAGGCACAGGATGCTTAACCTGCCACAGTGCTGGAGCCATGCATCACCCTGGCAGGGCCTGCTCACAAAGAGGGCTCGACATGCTTTCACAGGACATGGATGCTCAAATTCCCTTTACATGCAAAGAAGCTAATGCCCTAATATGTAATTGGCGTAAGTTACATGCTGGGTACCTAATAAAAGACAGGAGGAGCAAAAATGCAAAAGTGGCCTGTTGTGGTATAAATCCCACAGCATCCCAACAAGATCTGCAGCTGCTGACCTTGCCATATTTGATTTTAGGCTCCCCCCCCCCCCCCCTCCTTTAGGCTCAGGGAGGGGTGAAATGAGGTCGAAGATGCAAGTTGTTAAGTCCAAGGAAATACAGGATTCTCAGTCATCGGAATATGTAAAGCAGAAAAAGGAGTAGAAAGAGATACGAATTATACTGGCTTTGACCCATTTTAAATATATTCACTTATGCCCCCATGTTTCCTGACATTAAAATGTACAGTATCTGGTATGGTACTTTGAGAGCTACAGGCTTTGTGGTAGTTGACCTGTGGGGTCTAAGGAGAGCGCTCCAAAAGGCTCAGCTGCATTTTCCACACATGCAGTTTGCATCCTTATATCGGCCCGTGCAGTCTTTTGCCGGCACAAGCAGTGTCCCTGCTCCTCAGCTGCAATTGCAATGCTAGAAGCAAAAGCGTAGAAAGGCAGGTGGCACGGGTGAGGCAAAATGGACATTGCCCTTGTATTAAATAGACCTTTTCAGCATGCCCCAATACCCTAAGCACAGGGAAGACTCATCACTAGGAGATAAATAGATGTTCCTGGATGGTTCTGAAGAGGGGTTTATAAACCACTTAAAAGAAATGTTTTTAAGAGATGGTAAAAAGAACCACATTCCCAGTACATCATCAAGCACACACAGGCAATGCTTTAAGAACAATTTCTGTTGCTTAACAGACAAAGCACATACTCTCCTCCTACATCAATCCTCCCTCCACATTTGGGGACTGCATTATCTGTAGCGTCTGGTCGCTATTTCCCTGCCAAAAAACAGGAAAAAAAAATCCATATGGTTCCCATCCTATGGGTGAATGTGAAAGCTTCCACACAGAATCTGCACAAGAGTAAGATCCTATTTGCACTGCAATAAACACCATTTGCTCACGCCTCGTGCCTGCGGGCAGTACGGAAAAAGTTAGATTCATAAATAGTATCCTGGGGCTCACACAATGTAACAGTATTACCAAGCGCTATCAAGGCAGCAATTTTCTGTTGCAATAAGCCACATAGTCAGATGTTTGCGATGAAAAAGACCTATCTGAATATTGAGCCCATTGGCCAGCAAATGTGCAGTATAGTCCCCCAGATATCAGATATTAAACTGATACAGTACATCGCAATGTTAGTCAAATGGCAAGGAGGACTCAAGCCTCGGGAACATTCCAAATGAGCACCCTTACAGTGCAAGTACAAGAGCTCTATTTTGTTCTTCGTATGAGTGCATTAAACCACTAAAACAGTATTAATACCACAAATTGAAAAATCAATAGCATATTACAACACGCACACTACTCCCCAAAATAAAACCTCAGTACCTTTGTAAATGCAATTCAGAAAAGGCTGATTATAAAACAGAAAAAGGCACACAGAGATTGGCAGGGAAAAAGAGCCTATCTACTTAAGTGTGTGGTTACCATGTCTTCAGTAACTCATACTGCAATGGTATGGCACACTATGGGCCAGATTCTCCACTCCATTATACCAGTTTTACGCTGATGTAACTCCACTGGATGCTTAAACAGAGTTACATGGGCATAAAAACAATATAATGAAATGCAGAATCAAGTTTTACAATGTAATAGACTCAGACGGAAATTATCTATTCCTTTGTGGGGAAAAAATCCTGGCTATTTTTACTGAAAGCCTCTCGCTGTCTTTTGTTTTATTCCTACTATAGATTTTCAAGGCAAATACACAGTTATACAGTAATAAAAGTGATAGTACTACACCATGAGCAATGAGAACTGACCTTTTAATCTGGACAGCATACAAGAATCCAGAATCTCCCCTGAGGTTTGGTTATACCCCAACCCAAAACCTAATATAATCCATGCCTCTTAAGGAACTGTGAATTTTAAATACCACCCCGTGACACCTGCAGAGACATGTCTGTCTAGTAGGCTTCCATCCTCCCTATAATCCGGCATGGATTTAGCAATTTACGTGCATCAAAATGCATCTATCAACCCTATAAAGGATTCTAACAGATGTCAGCATGTGCAGTCAATCTTTCTTTTTAAGTTTTACTGGTAATCATGCACCACCTGAATCTTCACCTTGGTTTGGGTATCTTTCCCATGTCCAGACTCAGTTCACTAAGCTCCACCATGCCAGCGGGCACCCAAAGGACTGAGGGGCTCATGCTTATCACAGCACATCAACAAGTCCTGATCTGCGTGCAAGGTCAACACCCGCTTAACCTGATCACTGCTCTGAATAGGCCTCCTGCAAGGAAGCAGTCTTTGTTTTACAGACCTTTGGGTAACACTGCTCCATGCAAACCTTAATGGCTTGCTACACCTGACTGCTGAAGTATTATGCAGCATTTTACCCACAGGGTAGGTATGGACATACCACCAACACAAGCGGGCTGCAAGCAGCAGCTTTGTGCTCTCTTCCAGACTGTCCTCACTGTGAGGTAGAGCACTGTTTGCCTAACATCTCTTTACTGAACATGAAGTTATGCTGGTTTACTTCATAGTGCTTAAGAGCTTTTCACTCTCTTTCACCATGGCCAGACGCCTGCTATGATACCTGTGTCTTGTGTCAGTGAGCAACAAATCACATTTGTTCATTTTACAAGCAAAGCATCAAAGTGCTCCTGGACTTCTCTAAAATAAAATCCATGAGCTAGATTTTTATTGTACTTTCAAGTAAGGAGGCTTATGAAGAACAGCAAAAATTTGTAATAACAGTATATGTAGAGACTATTAAGTGAATGCCGGGGGGGCTAAAAAGAACCTGTGTAACCAAAAGGTCCTGGTGATCCTCAGGTGACAGCATTTTAAAGATGTAACCAAAGGATGGAACAACAGTTGTGTAACTTTTGGTGGACAAAACAATTTTTCTGCATAGTAAGAGCTTCTCCTCATGATACTATATATAGTCAAGATCTCACCAAAAGAGCATTTTGAATGAGATGGTTTTGTCCTGACGAAATTGAAAATATTTTGATACTCTAGAAAGAAGAGACATATCAAAGTGGTAATTAATTGTCACTCCTAGAGAGATATCCAGTGCTGTAGTTTATTTTGTTCTTTACAAATAGAAGAACACTTAAAAAAATTTGCAGAGCTGAAATTTTCCATTAGGTACTGTTTCTTTTCCCAATGATCAGTGACAGCATGTTCAAACAATTGAGTGACCAAACCACCTGAGCAGCCTGAACACCTGAGTACCAGTATGGGTGCAGTTTGATACAAATAATGTCTGATTCTGAGATAACTTTCAAAATTTCAAAAAAATTATTCTTGAAGTAAAATGGTATTAATTTCAAAGGATCCTTCAAATTACAGTTTCCAAAACATTCATGCAACTGACACGCAGGAATTAAAAAGCCAGTTGTCTGGATGAAACACTGGTGGATTATGAACTAGTGATGGTTTTATTTATAGCCTACAATGTGTTACCAGCTGAAAAGTATTACGATAGAGAAGAAAGACTCATTTTGGAAGCCAGAACAGGGAAACAGAACCAGAGGATTCTGAAATCACAACTCTGCAAACCCCCTCTTTTTTCTGAGTTGCTCTGGTTTGGCCGCTTCCTCCACAGCATGTGAATATTACGAGCCCTACAAAGCTACTGCTTGTAAAGGGCAATTAAGCAAAGTATACTAACTGTTATTGATTTTTTTCAAAAAACTACTGGGAATGTTAGTTTTTTCCTAAATGCTTCATCTAGCAGCGCCCTAACAAATATTTAACAAATAAACCCATTCTCGTCTATATCAATACATTCTCCCCTTCAGCTGGAGAACACAGACAGCAGTGTGCATGGAATTTGATAATCATATCAAACATCTCTCTGATCAAACAGTGACTCTCAGAGTTCAGGGACAAAAACGTTTCTTTTCAAATTGTTGTTAATCTATCTGAAAGGATAGCTAGGTTTCAAGGCTCTGTTTTTCTAGCTCATTAAATAATTGGAAATGTAATGATGCAGGTAAATAATATGGTGACGCAACCTTCTCTGCTAAATTTGAAAAAAAGTTACAATTCTTCCTGTCGGCAATTAGTAGTTGAGAAATAAAGAAGCGTTGCTTAGAATTTTACCCCTAAATCCCATCTGCTTACATACTAATTTAAGGTTTTCTCCCTATTCGGCATTTCTATTCAGACAATGCCATGGAAGCCAGCCAGCCTGTAGAGAGAACCCCAGATGAAGTAACAGCTCTATTATCCAAAATACACTGGAATATTCAATGATTATTTTAACAAAAGCAAAGTCAGTAAAGGGAAATTTTACTGGTTTCTATTTCATGACCGACAGAGATTAAAAAAACATCCACTAGCATTTGCCAAATAGAGATGGAAACTATTAAGAAAAACAACTTCCCATTCAAATGGATATTACAAACAAGAGGGCACAAAAACAAAAGGGAAACTAAAAGAAGAACTTGACAATATAGAATTACATGCTTCAGACAAAATATGACTGAATGAATTTGCTTCTGAATAAGTTTCATCACAGAAAGAGAAAACAGAAGATGGCATTCAAAATAATTTTTAAAAAGGCATGAGAAAACATGCATTCCTTACCCATTCTGTATAGCAGCTGTTGGATCATAAGTCAAAGCCATGCCAGCCTGCACATATTTAGGGAAGAAAAACAGATTTTTACTATTACTGCAGGAAAAAAAAAAAAAAAAAGACGTTAAACATATTCTAAGCCAACATGAATAAATACTCAATGCAACTTAGATGTAAATCTAAATTCTCCAGGAAAGCTCAGATGGTCCAAAGCAGCATGAGCAGACTGGCTACCTCCCCTGCCTGAGAGACCCCTGAGAACCAGATCTAGTCAGTATGTTGCTTGTCATCTCTCCATAACATTTAGGGCAAACAGCGTTTTTGTTGAACCATTATTAGTTAATAACTCCACTGAAATCAACGCATTTACATCCGACTACTCACTAGAACATGACAGGGCCAAATCCCGCTGTCGCCTGTGAGATAGGTAGTTGGTGAATATTCTAAAGACAACTTCACGAGAGCTTCTCAGGAAGGAGTCTCATCTTTCCTACAAAGGCCACACCCCACATAACCCCAGCCATCCAGTTTGCCCGGACTGCCACTCGGCTGCCACTCATACTTACAGTTAATTCATTACCATGAGACAAGAAACAAAAAGTGGGCTGTGAGGTAGAAAAGATCAACCAAAAAAAAAAAGGTGCTTGAGCTTTTAAACAAGGCTATTAAAATACTTCAGACAGCAAAAGAATTTGTTAATGGGCTATGCAGAGCCTTTCAACTGCCCTTCACCACCAAGATGATGGTGACCTGTGAGAAAGGATTTGGCAGTGTCAAAACAGCGTCTAGTTAACAACAGTCATCACTGCCACCATTAGCAGACATATCCACAGATACAGCAGGGAAGGCATGGAAAGAGCAGGGCTGAAGACTAAATTTCCTGCTCCACCTTATGCTCCAAGACAGCAGTTGGGGCTGTGCAGGAAGGACCAGATTTTTCCTCAGCATTTACTCTGAGATGTGGGACTGACAATGTCCCCTCCCACATACTGCATTTGCTTTGACTTTTTGTCTTCCTTATTTTTTCCCCTCCCTTTGTGAAATACTTGCCAAGGTAAGTTACTACTAGGAGATGAGACATCTCCCTTTGTGTAGGGCTAGAAGCAGAGACGAGAGGATCCCCATTACTCAAGGTGCTGGTCTCTCTTTGGGAGCAGCTGAAAAATGGCCACGGCACCATTGCACCCCAAGGCACTGTATTTCTCTCCGCTTGTCACACAGACCATATGCTCGTTGCCTGAGACAGGAGACAGCAGCATTTGCTTCAAGGACAGGTGCTTTACCAACCATGCAGCAGGGTCTGTACTCCTGGTGGGAGCTTTTAATGCCCCTGGACCCATCTACTAAAGTACTTTTAAATAATGGCATCTGCCTCCTTCCAGATGGCTGCTCAGACAGGTCAGGAAAGCATTTGGGCTTGGCTGGTTCCCATGCAGGCAGGTGAGCAGCCAGGGTAAATGCCCTGGTGACGATCAGGCAGAGAGTGGGCAGCACTCCTGGAGCAGCCAGGTTAGCCCGGCAGCTGCACACCGGTCTAAGAGGAGATGGTCCAAGTTTCCAGAGGCCAAAATTAATTTCTGATCCAAAAGGGTAGGCTTCACATTACCTTATCTAGCCAAAAAAATAGTTCATGTCATTATTAAATTTGTATATTTTTCTCATTATTCTTTTAAGCAGATGCTAGGGCAAATGCTTTGCTTATTGAAAATACTGTTGTTTCAATAAAATATCTCCCAAGCAAAAGATAATTCAGGAGACTAAGATCAAGATTACATGGCTATTTTTTAAAAATTCATTCATTTCATACAAAGGAAAATAAAATCAGCTATTTCTGGAAGTTTAAAATGTCAAAGAATCAAATTTAGGGTGACCCCAAACCACTCCTCGTTTTGATGCAAAAAATATATTTGCCTAGAAATCATAAGGGATGATCTACTTAACTTATTTTTATATTCTTATATCTTATACATTCTCAGCATATTATATTGTTTGGTAAGGTTGCATTAATTACTAATGGAAACATATACAGTTCATCCCAAGAAAGAGCCAATAAAAATTTAAAATCATAAACATTTTTTGTCTGCAATACATTTTAGAGAAAAAAATCCTCTCTTAATTTCCTTTCTCTTTTCAACACTTGTAAAATTTCTTATTGCTCTCTTTTATATTCCTGTGCTGGTAAAGACAACTTAAATAGTATGTACAAGCCCTAGACAGATGGAAAAATTAGTTCTAACAATTTTCAAAAAAACTTTAAAATAACTTAAGATATTCCCTGTAATTCAAGGTGTTGACATTTTAACATCTCATCACACATATACTCAAGACTAAGAAAAAAATCCCTTATAATTCATTGGGAAATAAGAGATCCAAGCTCTCTAAATAAGTGAGTTTCTTGATCTCACAGTCCTTAAGAGTTGCCTGGGTCAGAGCTCACCATATCCCACAGCTTGTATTAGTGTGAGCTGGGGACAAAGCGGCAACAAGTGGGGGGATGGCTGGGAGGAAAGGGGAAAATGAACAATTGCTCTTATTTCAGTTTCTTTGACATAAATAAGAATGCGGGTACAGAAAGGATAAATTGCAGCAGCTCTTTCACTGGAGCCCTAACCATGCTCAGTGTCCACATGAGACCTGCAAGTACGCGTTTACGATGCTTTCAGTTACTTGTCTCATGGATATTTGAGCACTCGGTTGTGCACAGACCCCCACCCCAGCTTGCCCTCCAACTCCATCATGCCCGAGATCCGCGTGTGGGTGCATGCAGAAAAACTTCACATACTCTGTTGTCTATACACTAGCATCATGGCCATTACATACTATTGGTACTAGGAATAAAGGACACTGTTGTGGCCCTGGTGAGTACAAAATACGGAAGGCTAGACACTCATCTCCTTATCCACACTCCACATCCATACCTCATGCTGGCAGATTACCAGAATCTGTTCAAGTACTTCAGCAGCGACCACTATAAATATCACTATTGCATTTGTCAGTAAATGAAAGTTTCACATTAGACAAATACAACACCGTGTGTGGCAATACGTGCATGTGGTACACCACCTACGATACGCCCAGTAATATTGCTAATACCCCCACAGCTGAGTAGCCTTAAACAGCAGCTAACAGAGGACTATTTACTTCTTTCTCATCAAGTTGTGTAATTCCTCCCTATAAAATTATGCTGGCTGGAAGCCCAGGAGAGGCAACAGTTAGCCTGGACCAGTGAAAGATTTATGGTCTCAAGCATTCTCATTCATCAAGAACAAAAACTGATGAGCAATAATAACTTACTGGAAAATTGTCTGCACTTTCCTCCATAGCACACAAACAGGAATTCCAAAAATACCGAACACAGAATATTAGGGTTGGCCTCAGACTTCCACACGATAGAGGTCCAGCATATTCTGTCAAAGACAGAACTGAATATAGCTGTCACTGTGCTTAATATGGTATTAACCACACTGAAGCACTGGCTGATTCTCTATAGCAGTCCCCTGTAGGGCTGAAGAGTATTTCCTTCCAGGTCTTTTCACCCACTGTTTTGCCCATGTTTCAGTGGAAGGACAGGATCTTATTCTTTCTCCTGATAGTGACACGTCCTGATGAAATGCCACCTGAGAGTGTGGAACTGATGATGGAACACTGCTTTAGGAAAATATCTGTCAGATAAATCTTCTATGAAGGAACAACTGAACAACAGAATCTTTATGCTGCTCAGCTGGATAATGGACATACACTCAGCTACTGAATGAAAAACCTACATCTCAAAATTTCAACATGCAATCCCTTAAAGTATTAAAAAAAAAAGGGGGGGGGAGCTATCTGTTATCAGTCTCACACATAATAATAAATAAAGATCATTCTCAATGATTACTCGACTGGTCTGTTCAGGATGTCACGTGATGCAGAAATAAAACCATCTTGTTTAAAATACTGATTTTTTCAAAAGACTATTTAAACCAAGTGTGTTTACTTATCACTTATTTTTATCAAAGTGTCTCAACTTAAGACAAAGGAATGAAGATTTTTGCTACTTTGTTGCTGCAGTTTTCTAATTATTGACATCAGTGAACAAAGAGATTCTAATAACAAGAGACCCAGTCTACGCCTTTCTTTCAATTTAAGCTCTTTCCTTCAATAAAGTGCATGAAATATCAGAAAGCCTCTAGAAGGCAAGGGTTCCCCCAGGAAATTTGAAGGCCTTTGCTCAAGACTTTACTGTGAAAAATTTTCCATGGGCAAAGACAAGGTGCTCTGTTTCTCGTTTTTTTTCCCCTCTTTTTGTTATGCTTTGAACATAAATAAGCACATTTGCCTCAGTAAAAAGATTCTTAGATCATCACATTTGCACTTCTTATGTCAAGTGGATTTGTAAATCTCTCAAAGAAATGATTAAGTTGTGGAGTGATTATTAAAAAAATGATCACATCTTCAATATCATGTGAAATAAGGTGTGTTTGTTATCTCTCTCTCAAATCTCTGTGAACTCTCACAACCACCACCTTTATCAGCCCAGCATCTGTGCTCCAGCAAACATAATTACCTATAAATGACCAAATTTTAGGTTGCATGATATCTTCTGTGTTGCTGTGAAGCAGCTTTCATGACCAACTTATCACCACCTACTCTCAGTGCACACGTCTTTCCCTCACTGTGTGCAACTGTGCAAAAATTCAGCATAATATCAACCTAGTACAAATATGTCCTGTGCCTATCTCAGAGATGAATATTCCACATCATCTCCTCTAACCTGCTCTGGCCAGCCTATGCCTAGTGCTGGAGCACATGTGCAAAGCAAGGCTGCTGTCACTGCAGGATTTCTCACTGTGCAGAAAGCCACAGTCCCACTGGAAAAAAACGGAGAGGCCTACAAATTAAAAAGGGGTGGAATCCACTGATGTGGTGGGCTTTCCAAGCAGGAGGCTCCCTGGGTTTCTCCTCCTTAAGGTGAGATTTGCAAAAATAAGGTTATACCCTAGGACTCAAGGGATTTCTGCAGTGAACCACTGTGGCAGTTAGACCAGAAGAAAAGTCTCTCTTCCCGATCTCTGAC